CGATAACAGGGATACTAACTAATCGTCGTGTCCAAATGAGAGAGAGAGCAGTGAAAATAGGCAGTTCGCGGCTATACCGAGCCCCCTCCGCGAGGCTCTGCCGGACCAGCAGATCCGTTTCAGCCTCGACCAAGCTGCCTCACATCCTGTCTCTGATGTGTGACTACCCGTCGCCCTCTGAAGAAGGGGTATTTTTTTCCATGGGACCATCGAAAAAGTGATTTTTGGACAGCTGCGATGGCAAGATAAAAGAGAGACACATGCCTCGACTGAGGCGTTTATGTGGACCTCTCGGTTCCAGTTCGCTGGCGAGAAGCGTTCCGACAGGGCATCGAGGCAGTGAGTTGTCTCTACATTGAACGGTAGTGGGGCTAACTTGGGCTGACTCGGTCCAGCAGTTCTGCGGCGATGCCTTGGCAGCTGCGACAATGTAAGCCCGTTCACATAAAGTGCCCTGCCCGTTGTGGACAGTTGGACAACGAACAACGCCTTTCTCTAACCAACTTCCCATAATGGCTTCTCCCTCCTCCCCCCAAGTCAGGGCCCCTGATAGTTGACGATGATACTAACTCGGCAAAGATTCGCTTCAGGTTTGATTGCCCGTTGTCGCTCCAAGCCATGGCGGCCCCATCGGACCCCCACTTTGTCGGAGCTTTCGCCTTTAGTGAAGCCGCCACACGGGAGGCGTGGAATGCAGCATTCGCGCCGCTGGGACATCCAAACACCGTGCGGGCTATTGTCCCGGGTGACAAGGCAGGCGCCGGCCTTTGTGAACTGGATTGTGCCATTTGGGCCGGAGATTTGCGATATTTTGGCGCGCAACCACCTGGTCTGAAGCCTGTGCCAATGTCAGCCTGTCATTTGTCAGGATTGGCCGAAGGAGCGAGGGATGGGCATGCCTCACCGTGACACTTTGCAGTGGAGAATGGTGTTGTTCACCCTAAACTGTCGGACAGAAGGTCCTAAAACAACGTCGCAAAAGGGACGCTCGCCTGACTCGATGCACAATAGAACAAGTCGCACTCCTAGAGTATCGCCTGATGCAAGGTGCTTTCAGAAGTCTAAGAACAAGGATCTTGCACCACCCTGATGTGGTATCGGCAGCAAGGCATATCGCGTCAGTTGATGGCGTCTCGTAAAGCATTTTCATTTGAAAAAATCTGAGAGACAAAATGACATTTTTGTTGACGGAAAATAGGTAAAAAAAAACAACAAGGCCTCATAAGTCTTAAAGCCCAAGCCAAGCGGACAACAGCACATCTCAAAGGTAACTGCAAATGCACACTGTGTATTTGTACGGTGAAGCTCCAAAAGGATTAGCGGTGCGCCTTTTGAAATGCCGGAGCCGCCACCGGCCGAAGTCATCTTGATGGAGTTGTCAGGTAGATTGTCCTCTAGTGCCGATAGCCAGCTGGCGCAGGCCTCACCTCCCCCCCCCCAGACCCCAAGACGCCTTCCTCAGTCTGATCCTCAAGCCTGATGGGGCAAGTTGCAAGATGCTTGCATGTGCTAAATTCAGCCCGTGCAGCCATCCTGTGCAGAGTGCAGGACTATGACATGTCGGATGCCCGCTTCAGCACGATCTCCTGGGATTTGTCAGGTGTCCGGGCTTTTGGCTCTGAAAGAGCCAGTATCTCTTGCAGCTGGCAAAGTGCAGCATGTTGCCTGTGACCACCTCCCTCCTTTCTGCCTGTCAGATGAAGTTGTCAGCATGGGAATCTCGAAAGCCGGGGCCCTATCGAGCTGCTCCTGGTCAAGCTGCTTGTAGCGGTTTTTGACTCCATGCAGACCGCACAAACACGCGCACATCCCAATGGATGAGCCTTGTAAGGTAGATCCCCGAAGCGGTGAGATTGTCAAGAGCGACATCACCATGTCCAGTGGCCTCCTGGCTGCATCTAGGTGAGTGTCAGAATGTTCCGTGCAGTATCAATGCTGTAGTATGAGTACTAGACACATATGGGCGTTTATGATATTAGGGGTACCTTTTTTGGGGTCCTTACTGTTATGGGTCCCCTAATTTTCGTAAACCCCCAGATCACACATGCAGGGAGGTGCTCGAACGGTGCAGGTTGGGTCAAGTCATGGCTCGAGGACATCGACAGCGTGGCGCCGGCAGCTCGGAAGTTGTTGCGCTGAAGCCTGACTGTTGCCCTTGTAGGGGCGGAAAGTGAGCCTAAAAGAGGGATCCTAGACGCTACAGCTATATAACCTGCTAGACTGATATAAGTTCATGGACCATCAGCCTCTTTATGTCCGAGGCCCGGCCTAACGCACCTGGCCCTGCCACGTGGACCGGCGCCGAAGCCACCAAGGCTTGGGTGGCCTCGGAATGCCTTTCCCCGAAGCATGAACTAAGACAAAGAGATGAGAAACCGAAGGCTAAAGAGCTGAGATTTGGCTGCCTGCAACAGTTAAGGTAGGCAGTTGAACACGGTTTTGAATCATGTTGAGGCTAAGCAATGGGACATGGCTCTTGGGAAGGGGGTGGCCCCCAGCGGAAACAAGAGCAGCAATGCGATGCGGACAGTCGCGCGTGGTGACACATAGTGACACAGAATGACAAAGTGACGCGTGTGTGCCAGGTTGAAGCTCCTGCAGACGGGCAGAGGCAGGAAATCATGGCTCTTCGTGGTCTACTGATTCTACTGATGCTGTCTTACGGCCAGTTTTCCCACTGTCTGCAACCAGATCGTGCAAGTCACCTCTCAGTGATCGCTGCCTCGAAGGCCAGCATCAACGCGCATGGCGGAGAGTTGAGCAAGGCTACTGCTGGAACTATGAGCTGGTCTTCAGTGGTCTTCAAGCTTCCCCTAAGCAGTCCTAGTGCGCAAACCATGCTGGGGACAACATTCACCATAAGATCATCATGCACTTTCCCTTGATTCCAGCCAGGACGTGCCTCCCAAGCGCGAGCTCGGCAACAAGGGACGCGCTCTGCTGCATTGAATGCCACCGCGCTCGAGGACACCATGTCTCCGATGGCTGCTTTTGGTGTGGGCTAGCTGCTGCTAGCCTGCGCTACTCATTATCTTGGTCTATTCCCGATACGTGTTGTAGTTGCAAGGGTCAGGGGTAGCCATGCTGAGTGAGAGTCCTGGAAAGCCAAGTTGGATGTTGCCCCTTACCCCGTGCTCGAAGCATTGCTCGCCCTTGTCAAATGACGACTCTGCTCTGCAGGACCTTGTCGCGACCGGCTTGCGAGCAATTGCCACTTGTTGCACAGATGTTTGGTGCTCCCTCAAGCAACTCGCATCCACACTGTAGGGAGCGTTGGTGGCATGCCGTACTCGGAGACCTTTTGAAGCTGACAAGCTTGTTCTTCACGTTGTGAAAACTGAAAGCCAGAAGCCGGTGTCCAGGTCATGCATGAGACCGGCCACATCTTGGGCCTCAGGCCCACTTTTGCCCAAAGGAGGGTGTGGACCGAAGAGTTCAGAGGGGATCATCGCTTTGCAGAAGGGCGCTCTCACTCTGAAGACCCCCCGGGAAGGCACAACTTCAAGGGGAGCCTGGGCATCTCCCTGCAATGCCTGAAGGCCACAATGGTCTCTCACGCGTGCTGTCTTGTCCTGTCAGCAGCTGCATGTGGCCGGACAACCATAAAGCAACCATAAAGCAACCATAAAGCAGCTGAGAGCAGTCTCCAGATGTTGTGCCTTTGAAGCTTTGCGATGTGGCCGATGTCGAGGAGAAATCCTGCACTTCCAAGCATGGCTTGTCGGCCAGTGCCACGAGCTGAGAGCGGCGACGTGTGGGTACTCACATGCTGTCGTGGTTTCGAGACCACAGCATGGACTCACGCTTCAGGTGATGGACTACATGCCTCCAAACATTCAAGGCTCAGATGCAGCCAGCTTGCTTGATGCCCCCTTGGCTGCGCTTCACCTGCGATGTCCCCCGACTGTGTCACGATGGGCCATCTCCTTCGGGGGACCTTTCGAGCCGAGGTCGATGTCTTCAACCCTGTCGTCGGAGACTATGACAAGATGGCCATCTCCTACGGTTATCAGACCCTGGACCAGGACTAGATGGACTAGCTCAGGGGGTTTTGCGGAGAATTCTCTCACGGCACAACATGGCGAGGAGACCTGGCCCAACATAGCGCCGCAACTGCAGGAGACGGGGTTGAAGATTCGACCTGAAAAAGCAAGGGCGCCTTCCACCCTGGGCAATGCGAAAAGCACTGTATCAAAACCTGTGCAGATAAGCCGGAGAGGCGTCTTTTCTTGTTTGGATTATTTAGATCGTATAACTCCCTCCGCATGGCAGAAACTCCCCTCAGTGCAGTATGTATAGTATGGCCAAGAGCAAGATGCCTCAAACATGCCGGAGCTCTTGTCACGCTTTGTGGACCCCGTAGGAGCTCCTGGATGTTGCCGGGAAGCAGTTTGAGGCTGCGAATTGAGTTTCCCAACGCTGCCATTCCGCAGAGGAAGCTGAAGGTTAGGGCCAAGGGCCTTCAATAACACATGGTACCTTGGATCTGACAGAGATACGTTGGCATCCTGTGCTGCTTCGCGGCCGCCGCGTTTTCGTCAAGCTTTATTCCGGACATGAGCCAGGCAGAGCGCATGTACTCACATCCCCGAGCACAGACTGTCGGCAAATCGCTTGCAAAGCAGCCATAGCTGGCCATAACCCATGACCTTCCCCCTCTCCTTCTCCGTCCATGCAGCGCAATGCGGCGCTACTCCTGATTGGCAGCGTGGCTGCGGCACTCGGTGGCCTGGCGTGGGTGTGTGCAGAGGGCAGCTGCGGAAAGTCGGCGGATCTCACCGGTGTTGTATGCGAGCGGGATTCGGTTGGTTGGTTCTTGAGCCCAACGGTGCCGTAGTTGCTCACGGAGTCATGACAGAGTACGTAGTGCAGAGTACAGAGTACACAGGGCAGAGCTCTGGCTACTTCAGAGCAGGTCTGAGTTTTTCAAGAGGATGTAGGCACGGGTGGTTTGCTAGGTGCCAAGTTGGCAGGGCTGGGGATTGCGGATATGCGTAATCATGCACTATGTTGCTTCATCCCTCCTGTCTCTCATACAATCGGTGCTGAGCTGCATCAGAGTGAATCTTAGCTCGAGTGTCTTTCAGTGCAACTCTCAAGTGTTCCCAGATGGCATCTCCGTCGATCCAACTTCTGGCCACTTCGTGGACAGCTATGGCCGGGTACGCCTCTTCCACGGCATCAATGCTGTTTACAAGGCCCAGCCTCCAAAAAGGATAACTGCATCATGAAGTCAGTATAAGTCAGTATTTCAGTTGCAGGAAGCTCCTTGGCTACCACGCGTCGACAACTTCTCCGCAGAGGAGTCGCTGGACTCGACCACCATCGAGCTCCTGAAGGCTGTGCATATTGCAGAACCGATTGGATCTGACCCCCATTTTTGCTTCCATCCGTGCCCGTGCTGCAACAGGAGTGGGGCTTCAACGTTGTCCGTTTGGGAGTGCCGCTCCGGCTCCACAAGTCGGCTGTTTTCCGTGCGCCAAGAAAGGGGGGGTGGCTGTCTCTTCTAAGGATGTGGCCAGGAGTGGAACCGGAGCCGAGACGCATCGATGGCAGTTCCAGCCTCAGAACTGTAGGGACTCATCTTGCCTTGTTAGCAGCATCTACGGCGTTGTTGCTACTCCACGATCTCGGCCCTTGAGGCTATTTACACAGGGCAAAGCATCTCACTCGGGAGCTCGCCGAGCGTGGGATCTACACAATCGCTGACCTCCATCAGGCGCGCGACCTCCGTATGGTGCCGTAATCACCGTAATCTGCTCTATAGGAAGATGGTCCCGACCTGGTGAGAGCTGAGCCAGTGTTGAGCCCGCGGCCGAGGATCTGGGCTCTAGCCACTTCTGCGGCGAAGGTTTTCCAGAGGCCGAAAGGATTCGGGTTGGGTGGAGGCACTTTGTGCGCGCGCAAGCTTCCATCAAAGGCTATCCAAGAGTTGCAGTGCCACCGACCACAGCAACAAGTGCTTCTGTAGAGTAGCAATGAAAACCTGTGGACGTTCTCAGTCCGGCGTGGCGGGCAGAAGAGACAAAGATGGCAAACGCACGAACGCCACAGTGAACAGTGAGGAAGAAAGCTCAAGGATAGAGAGAACTTGAGTGCCAAGTCCCTCTTTCAGAGGCAGTGCAGAATCCAGCACCAAATGTCCGTCTCCAGTCACACGGCCCGCGGCGCGAAGACTGAGCGCGCTTGTAGGTCCAGATCGGAGCACAAAGAGCCCTCTGTCAGCCCGCCTGGCTAATCATAGCTCTTGTGCCAGATCTCTTTCTCCATTGCACGGTTATGTTTCCATATTCGGTGCACAGAATGATCCGTGACTCGTCTCGCGAGGCCTACGTAGATGCTCTGCTACAAGACCCGCGCAGCCGCCTTGCGCAGGCTCGCAGCATCCGTTGCGACTGCTTACATCCGGGCGTAAGCAGTGCGAAAATTACCCGAAGACAGTCTAAAGTGTTTAAAGCAGTGTAAAGCAAGGTGAGGCACTGGAACAAAGACCGGGAACCGCATGAATCGCTCCAGCCACTTCAGGCTCCGCTCTTCCCGGAGCCCTTGGGCACGTTGCCTCGCAACGCATCCGGGCTTCCTGTACGGGAGGAGTGCCTGAAGAGGCGCATCCGCGAGAAATTCATGAGAATTCATGAATGTTCGTTGCCTTTCGCGCGTAGTTTCTAGCGGATGCGGAGAGTTGTCTGGGTGCTGATATGACTTCCGCCAGCGTGCCAGCACGTCAGCGCTTGGGGAGGCTTTTCAGTGATTACTACAGCACTTTCCAAGTCGGCGCTCTCTGGGCGGAGCTTTATCGTGAAGGCACCCGTCAAGAGCCAAATGCCTTTGGGCCACTGCATCTTCTCAGCAGCTTCTACGTTCCCCATGCTCAGGCTCTGAACTCTACGAAGGCTTTCTCCGGTACTGGGCTGCTGTGGCAAAAGAATTCAAGGACATGGTCCTTCTGTCGGGATGGGCTATCCGTTTGCCGAGGCGTTGGCGGAAAGAGCACAAACAGCAAACAGCAAGAAATAGACCCCCAAGATTGCGGAACGGAACCTCGTTTCATGCGGCAGGCGTGGTACTTTCGGCATGCGTGCTCTACACCTTTGTGCGGTGAACTTTGCGTGGGGATGTTCCTGATTCTGATCATGGTAATGATGGTGGTGGTAGTGACGATGATGAACATGACGACGACGATGATGATCATCAGCATCATCATCGTCATCATCATCATCGTCATCATCGTCATCATCGTCATCATCATCATCATCATCATCATCATCATCGTCACCACCGCCGTCGTCATTCACCAGCAGCAGCACCATCTCATCGGCATTTCTGTCATATTGCAAGTTGTGTGTTCCATCGACAAAGCGGTTCCTGCTCTGAAGGGGAACTTTCCAGAGTTCTTATAGAAAGCTCCTAAGGCGGTGCAAAGCATGATGCACAAGAACAAAGGCTACACTCCTACAAAGGCAACTTCACAACCACACCTACTTCTGAGGGCGGTGCGAAGACAAAAGGCACAGAGGGCTCGTGCAAGCCCGCGTGTGCAACCACCCCGGCTTCTCAGGGCGGTGCGAAGACCAGGCATGCAGAGGCTCGTATAAGCCAACTGGTGCAAATGCGAGACAGGATTTCCAGACCGCCCAATATACATATATATATACAAAGCCTCAGCACCAGAGAGTATGGCCCCTGCCGCGGTGCAGACTGGCAGAGATATCCGGTAGCCAGACAGAGCAGGCAGTCCGTGGCCAGACAGGAGTTTGATTGTGTGTTCCTGCCACTCGACGTGACATGCTCCAAGCCTACAGGATGAGCCGCAGCTTGTGGCATTCGAGCTGCTGAATGAGCCCTCGGACGCATGTTTGGAGGCAGTTCTGCTGAACTCAATCATGGCTGTCATTGTTTTTAAAATCCTTCAACCGATTTGCGCTTGGCTATTCAGAGCTCTGTTGAAGTAAACGGTGTGACTCGCCAACGACCATTCGAAGCTTTTTTACCGCTCTGCCCCCATCACCTCTCCTCGCTTCTTCCGAAACCGATCAGCACGGAGAGGGATGATGCGCCCCTCCCCTCCAGCCTTTTGCACGTGTAGGTCGCGCAACAAAACATCACATGCCGGCCCTTTGCAAGCCTTTTGGATAAATAGGAGCTGGTCAGAACTGTAGTTCCTCATGGCTTTCTTTCGGTGCTGGCCCGTTGTAACCATCGTCCTGGCGGCTGCAGATCCCAGCTTGCCTCCCGAGAGCGGCTCAAACTGCGCGGATGAGAGCTCGGACGTCTCAGCTTTTCTTCAGCAAAAGAAGCCCGATGCTGACATCTCTGAAGGCATCGGTGGTGATGGCTACTGGCTGAAGCCAGGTTTCGACCCTTCCGAGGGCAAGCCCATCGGGGGTGATGAATCAGCGCTGCCTCCCAAGTATCGCCACCAGAAGGACCAGAAGGGCATTGGGGGTGACGGATACTGGCTGGACCCAGATTTCGACCCATCTGAGGGCAAGCCCATTGGTGGTGATGAATCAGCGCTGCCTCCCAAGTACCGCCACCAGAAGGACCAGAAGGGCATTGGTGGTGATGGTTACTGGCTGGACCCAGATTTCGACCCATCTGAGGGCAAGCCCATCGGTGGTGATGAATCAGCGCTGCCTCCCAAGTACCGCCACCAGAAGGACCAGAAGGGCATAGGTGGTGATGGTTACTGGCTGGACCCAGATTTCGACCCATCTGAGGGCAAGCCCATCGGTGGTGATGAATCAGCGCTGCCTCCCAAGTACCGCCACCAGAAGGACCAGAAGGGCATTGGTGGTGATGGTTACTGGCTGGACCCAGATTTCGACCCATCTGAGGGCAAGCCCATCGGTGGTGATGAATCAGCGCTGCCTCCCAAGTACCACCACCAGAAGGACCAGAAGGGCATAGGTGGTGATGGTTACTGGCTGGACCCAGATTTCGACCCATCTGAGGGCAAGCCCATCGGTGGTGATGAATCAGCGCTGCCTCCCAAGTACCGCCACCAGAAGGACCAGAAGGGCATAGGTGGTGATGGTTACTGGCTGGACCCAGATTTCGACCCATCTGAGGGCAAGCCAATCGGTGGTGATGAATCAGCGCTGCCTCCCAAGTACCGCCACCAGAAGGGCATCGGTGGTGATGGCTACTGGCTGAAGCCAGGTTTCGACCCTTCCGAGGGCAAGCCCATCGGTGGTGATGAATCAGCGCTGCCCCCCAATTACCGCCACCAGAAGGGCATTGGTGGTGACGGATACTGGCTGAAGCCAGGTTTCGACCCTTCCGAGGGCAAGCCCATCGGTGGTGATGAATCAGCGCTGCCTCCCAAGTATCGCCACCAGAAGGACCAGAAGGGCATTGGTGGTGACGGATACTGGCTGGACCCAGATTTCGACCCATCTGAGGGCAAGCCCATCGGTGGTGATGAATCAGCGCTGCCTCCCAAGTACCGCCACCAGAAGGGCATCGGTGGTGATGGCTACTGGTTGAAGCCAGGTTTCGACCCCTCCGAGGGCAAGCCCATCGGTGGTGATGAATCAGCGCTGCCCCCCAATTACCGCCACCAGAAGGGCATTGGTGGTGACGGATACTGGCTGAAGCCAGGTTTCGACCCTTCCGAGGGCAAGCCCATCGGTGGTGATCAATCAGCGCTGCCTCCCAAGTACCGCCACCAGAAGGACCAGAAGGGCATCGGTGGTGATGGCTACTGGCTGAAGCCAGGTTTCGACCCATCTGAGGGCAAACCCATCGGTGGTGATGAATCAGCGCTGCCACCCAAGTACCGCCACCAGAAGGGCATCGGTGGTGATGGCTACTGGCTGAAGCCAGGTTTCGACCCATCTGAGGGCAAACCCATCGGTGGTGATGAATCAGCGCTGCCACCCAAGTGACGAGCGTGTGCATTCGCGCACCCATTCTTCATCATAGTGTCATAGTTCGTGTTTTCAATCAAGCAGCAGGAAGAAGCAATTTGGAAGAATACACGCTGCAGAAATGAGTTTGAATTGGCATGCGTTGTTTCGATGTGCAGGTACAATGTGGCCTGTCACATTCTTCACACGTATCAAGTACTCTCGTTTTGTCGACCCCGGTCGGGTGAGGTTCCGTTTCTTGCTAGATAATTCTGACGAAGTTGCTGGTCAAATGCATGGCCAACAGATTTGCAAAAGCCGCTGAGCCACCTGGCATGATCCCCATCGCATCTCAACATGTGTCAGCGAGCCTATGCGTAGATCATATCGCTGCTGTTGCAATCTGATGAGCAATACTTTCCCTCGCATGCAGGCACGAACAGCTCCCGGCTGCTTGAGTGGTCAGGCCTGGCGCCAGTCAGCTGGGTGAAGCACGAATGGTTACGCAGAGAGTCGTTAAGCCGATGCCTTTTTGAGAGAGCAAGGGTGCGAACGTGAGCTGTGAGAGTTGTCGCTGCAGAAAACGTCTTGCAAGGCGATTCCCGTCCGGTTCAACAATGACGTCGAGGCAGGGAGCAACGTTTGTGGTTGTGACAGCGGGAGGGCAGTGGATCGCCAACGAGGGAAAGGGGGCTCCAGTTGCTGGCACGCTGGGACCGGGCCCATCTGTGGTAGCTGGTGTGGCTGGGGGGCTCTCTGATTGTGGAAAGGGTGCTCCGTGAACTCTCTGGCATTGTTCGGTGTCAGTCCGCTTGTATACAGCAGGTTTGTCGAACACATTGCGTCCAGGTGCTCATTCAAAAAGAAGCTTGAAAACCGAAGCGCGCTGTTGGCATCTGTGTGTTCTTTCTGAATGAACCTGCATTGTCCTGGTGAGGGTACGTGCTGTAGAGTGAGTTCGTTTTGTGTTTTTGTGCCTTGCATAGGCATGTTCATGCTGGTAAGCGCATGCACCTGTCGTGGAAAGTTTAAGAGGCGACTGCTTGACAGCTCCACCTCTTCCTCAAACTCAGCCGTTGTAGGATGCATACCTGCCGCGTCAATATCTTGGGGGCAATCTGTCTGCCTTCACAATTCTTGATACTTCAGTTGGCACAATCACTGTTTTCAGCTGCGATCATTGCTTGCCACAGTCTTGTCCTGTCTTCGCCAGTTCTGTCAGCTCCATTTGCTGGGTTGGTGCTTGTTGTGACAAAATACCAGAAGCACAACAGCTGTTCATCCATACCCCAGCCATGCTCTCAGTCATCCTAGACGGTACAGTGGAAGGCCAAACTTTCCTTGCCAAGGGTCAAGGAACACTTACGTCTACGTTCCCTGGAAATCTAGCCTGGTATTTTTAAATTTGAACTTCCAGAAACAGAAACGGCCATCTCAACAGATAGCTTTGCTTGGAGGGTCGCAGTCGCCTCAGCTGATGGCGCGTGCAGACAGCATAGCATGATTCTGGGCAGAGTTTTGGCTTGAAGCATTCTATTGTGGGGGCAAGAGCGGTTTTCTCGGCCTCCCAACCGTTGCAGTTTCTTTCAGAAGCCCTGGGGCGATGAAGTTCGAGGGCTTGCTGGTGATGTTCCTTATGTTCGTGTGCACATGCTCCGGAGAGAGTGTTCTCCGAGACCCGAAGTTGCTTCGGGCTTACTCAGCCTTGCGAGACCTGCAGCAATTGGGCGATGCGGGCCAAGCTGCTACTCACATGAGGGTTCCCCTACTGGCCGTTCTGGGAACGCAGTCCTCAGGCAAAACATCTTTCCTGGAGAGTGTGGTGGGGTGGCCGGTTGGCTTCACTGCCCGTGGGACCGCAACACGCTGTCCTGTTCGCTACATCCTCCGGGACGGGCCCAAGAAAATCTACGCTGTTGCCGGGCGAGATGTCTCCGGACGGTCTGACCTGAGAGCAGCTGTTGCAGGACACATGAAAGCCTTGGGCAAGACGTTCACTTCAGAGGTGGGGGAAGCAATCTTTTGATGTTTGGGTGCGTGAGGCGATTTTTTCCACGATTGCACACACAAGACTTCGGCCAGGCACTCATCGTCACCATCGAGGAGCCCGGACAGATCACGCTTGACGTTACCGATTTGCCTGGTCTCAAGGACTCGGGTGACCCCGACTTCGGACAGCTGCGCAACATCACACGAAAGTTCCTTCAAGATCCTCGCACCATTCCAGTGGTCATGTGCCAAGCTTCGAAGTCGCACGAGACGCAGCACGATCTTGACATTCTGAGGGAGCTGGGATTGAGCTTCGGCAAGTCATTGGTGCTCATGAACTATTTCAACAAACAGATTCCCGACATGACCCGAGTATCCGAGGTCAATGCATATGTTCGCGGGCAACGGGGCAAATTTCCGAACAGCCGCTTCATCATGCTTCACCCCCACGATGGGATCGACAAGGAGCGAATGTCCGCGGACGAGCTTGAGGACTATATACAGCAGCTGCCCAGAAAGGAGCAGAAGGCCTTTGACAACAACCTGGAGCGCATGGATGCCGATGAGCCCCTGGATGCGGAAGTGGCTGAGGCTTTCGGAGTGACCCGAGCCATAAGCCACGTCCAGTCCATCCTCATGGATTGGATGCGTGACAATTTCAGGGATGTCGTTTCGTCTTTGCGCGGAGACATCATGCGCCATGAGCACAACGTGGATCAGCTGCAGGTGATGATAGCTGCCAACAACCCTCGGGCGATCAGGGATGCATGGCGCAACTACACCCTTGCTTATGAGAACATCATCTCCATGATGCAGTACGGCCGCATTGCTCACATGAAGTTGCCCCGACCGTTGTTCCAGTTGGGGCCACGCGACCAGTGGGCAGAAACACAGACGGTGGTGTCAACCTACCAGGAGGAGATTACCAAAGTATCCGTTCCTAAGCCACCCGGATGGCTGGACATTGAGGCCTGGCAGACAGGGACTAGGAGGATTCCAGTTGGGCCACCTAAAGATTTCTTGCCCTTGCTGCCTTTGTCGGTTACGTGTTGACAGGCCTTGGACGAACAACTGAAGGGCACCTACACTGGGCGGCAGCTTCATTTCAGGCTCGGTCCTCATGCAGCTTTCAGCCGACTGGTTCGAGTGCTCAGCTACATGCTCTTCTCCATGCAGCTGGAGCCGCTGACGGAGGAAGAGATGATGACCAAATCCGGCCATTCCCGTGATGGAGCAACGCATAGCTTCAACAAGCACACGGTCATTCTGCAGCTGGTCACATATGGGCTGCTGCAGATGCAGGACATAGTGGCCGTCACTATGCAGCAGGTCAGGGTGATTTATGTCGGGGTCCTCCAGAAAGCACACAGCTCCCTGAAGCAGTTCTTCCCAAGTGTTGCGCACCACGAGCAATTTCACAAGATGCTCGATGCAAAGTACGAAGAGCTCCTGATGCAAAAGCTGATGGCCGGCACCCACGCCATTCAAGATCGCATTGTGACGAAGACGAAGTACTTTGCTGTGGACCTGCCCAACCGGATTCTTGTGCTCTTCGGCCTCACGCCCATGGTGCAGGATGTCTTGCATACCAACCCTGCATCAGCATACTACGTGGAGAACAAGTCCAGGGCTGATGCATCAAGCCGGAAGAGGCTTTCGCGGCAGCCGTCTCATGAGCTGCCGAGTGTGACTTCTCAGAGAAATGCCCTTCTGGCCATGAAGCATAGGCTTTTTGAGCACCAGCAAGACAGCCCTTTCTCCCTCATCGACTTTGTGGAGGGTGGCCAGCAGGATCTTCACCAGGACGAGTACCGCACCATCAATGTTGATGACACCAACGCCGTAGCACATCAGTATTATACGTTGGTGAAAGGCCTTCTCGTCCTTGACATAGAAGGTATCCTGGACTACGACGTGTTCCATCCGCTCGAGAACAAGGAAGTTCTGCTTCGTTCCATGAGGGAGGAGATGCTTCAGGCAGTATCAGATCTAGAAGATGACGAAGTCAACGAGATGGTGGGTGCTGGGTTCAGGGCGATGCTTCAAGAGCAGCAAGACACCAACGAGACATTGGTGAAGCTCAAGGGGGTCCTTTCAGAGCTCGAGGTGGCCGTCTCGGGTCGCAGTTCCGAGATGCCGGATCTTGAGCTCTTCCTGCTTCTTTTTGGAAATGCTTCCGTTGAGGTGTTGGAGAAGGCAGCGAAAGCTGCAAAGATGGATGTGGTGAACTTGCTTCGCCTGCCAACTCACACAGTCAGCACGCGCCCTGAGCCTGACCTGTCTCCAAACTTCATCCGGGTCATGGTGCAGCCCACGTCGCCGCGACAGGGCCACGATGACCTGAAGGCTTTGGTTGCCGAGGTCGAGGGCAAGGTCTCTTTGGAACGTGTTGCGCAAGTTGTCAGCATTGGTGAGGCCATTCTTTCAACTTCCAAGAGCAAGTGCATAACCTTGATGACCCACCACAGTGCAGCGCCTGCAGGGGACGTGGTCAACGAAAGTAACGCCCACGATGAAGTTCCGATCCAGACGCATGGCTCAGAGACCTCGGATGTCGAGGACGACGAGACATCGACTGTCGAGGACGAAGAGGATCTGTGAGGCAGGCCAAGGGCAATAGCGCCTCGAAGTTGCAACCGCAACAAGCATAGTGTCACCGATCAAGCAGTGCAAAAACAGATTCGGATGGCGCTTCTTTCTCTGCAGGGGTCGGGGACAGCCGGGACAGGCAGGGGTGGCTTTCGGCTGGCACTGCGCAGCACTCGCACGAATGACACTCATCACACGAGTTGACACGAGTGGCTGCAGTTCTGCTCGGGCTGAAACAAGCTGATTCCAGTTGTCGAGGAGAGTGTAGAGTCAAGGCGTCCTGTGCAGGTGCACAAGCTCATGCCTTTGTACCAGGCCTGACTGGGGTGCGGATGGGTGCGGGAAGAAGTCGACATAGGCACAGGGGCACAAGGGTTGATGCATCGCCTGCTGTGTTTCTCTCAGTGTCTGCAGGCTGCTGCTCGAGCGATTCGTGGTGCTGGGGCTCCACAGGCCCCGGCAATTGAACACGGCCGCGTGACTAATGTCAGGATGTGTCAGGACCCTGTTGCAAGTGGGGACTGGGTTTGAAGGTCATCCTTTACGAGCCGACCGTATGGCCAAAAATCGGGGCCCAGGCGGGGCGGATCCGTGACCTGGGGAGAGCCACACGAGAGCCGCATCGGCTTGACGGAAGGTCTTCCCTGGGCCTGTTCTGAATGACACGAAGCAGGGCCTTGCCTACCACATCTACTGCGCACCAGGCTGGGGCTTTCACCGGAGTGCTGTGTGGGCTGAAGCGTTTGATCTCAAGTTGAGCCAGGAGACGGCCGCAGCTTTGCGGCCGGTCTGCTTTGCGATGCTGCTCAAAGCATCTTTGAGCGCCCCTCGACCTTGCGCCGCAGATTCTGTCCAAGTGTGCATACTGTATTGAAAATGTATTTACAATGTATTTAAGTCTATAGAAGTGTGCCAATGCTTAAATGAAAACGCCCAAGATTCGGGGAGCGATGCAAGAGCAGGCACCTTCTACCCTTTCCTGCAGCGCAACAAGCGCCTTGCAGGCTTCATGACGGATCCTCGGCCGATCTGAGATGGTTTCATGGCATGGCTTAAACGTTCAAGGCTTGGGGGTGGCATCTTGCTGATGCCCTCCTCTGTCTGTGCCCAGGAGTTCGGGGCTGTTGGGGGCAGCAGCCGCGAGCTAGAGCACCTCTCCCGTGCCTGGGCTCTGTGAGAAATGCACTCGGGGACCGCGGACTGCTCCGGGTGCTCTGCATATTCTGAGATCTTTTGGATGCAGCTGACGAACATCTGCAAAGCTGGACGTACTGGCAGCTCAAGAAATTCAAGGACTTCACCACGGCTACTCGGGGGCACGCATTCTGTCCGTCTGCTGATCCTTCTGCCAACTTGGGAGGGCATGTGTGGGAGCCCCGAGGCGAACGCGCAGGAGCCGCTCTTCAGACCCGACGGCCAAGTCGAGACCGAGAAGCTGCGCGCCCTCTCACGCACCTCGCCTCGGCAGTTGTTGCCAGCAAGGTTGTTTTGCCCGAATGCCCCCAAGTCAAGTGAACAAAAAACGGCGGGACGGAGGAAGCTTGCAGAGCGTTCCCCAACAAGCAAAGCGTTTCTGTTCCCTCTGTCTTCCTTCGCGTGTCCCTTCCTGCTTCCACTTTCCTTCTTACTCACGCAAGGCATACGATGTGGGGGTGCCTTCGCCGGCCTTTGGAGCCATTAGAGTCTAATTAGAGCCTTTAGAGCCACAGCCTGCCACAACAGAGGGCCCAAAAGCTCCGCCATGTCCGCCATGTCCGCCATGTCCGCCATGTCCGCCATGTCCGCCACGTCGGAATGTCGAAGGCACGTATGCGTTTGCCACAGCGGGCATCCCGACCAAGATGCGCTTCGACCAGAGTGGGGCCTTTGAGCTTGATTTCGTGGCCACTGTACAGGCACGGAAAGGGTTTTTGTAGTCGGGATCGGAGAAGGGAGATGTCTTGCATCCTTTGAGCTCGCTTGAAAGGACGCGCCCACCGAAATCTTCCTGAACGAGGCAGGGATGTCGATTGAATCAGAGCCGCTGGGAAGCCCTGGGCATCTGCAAGGCGCTCCACTACCCGACGGGCTACTCCATATCTGTGGACCCTTCGAACTGTTTGAATGCTCCTTGGCTGAGTCGCCGCAGTGTCTGCACATGTTACACAAAGGACCAGCGCGTGTCGCTTCGCACGGGGCTTGCAACACCGAGGTGCAGAAGGCGCAGCGTAACTATTTGAATCTCACGCTGGCGAACTCTGCATGCCTGGGCCAGCTGCTCAAAGTCAGGCGGGTGGAGCGGCCTGCCGCGGAGTAAGAATATTTGCTTAAAGGTTTCATAAGGTTTCGTGCGCAGCTGCACCAGGCTCTGGCCTTCTACGACACAGATCGTGTGAGTGGTGACGGAATGCGAGTGACAGCAAGTGAAAAAGATACGGCGCTCGAAGCGTTGCACTGCTAAGAACAGGGCGACACGGGTAGAGAAGCCATCCCCGTTTAGAAGCTCGGATTCAAGGTAGGGAAGGTGCAAGATATCGGTAAGATAACTGCCCTTTGGCCAATGGATGAGGGTGGATGTGGGGGTTTCCGAAATTAGGCTGCCTTGTTGGGGTCCTAATATTTAGGGTTTATATTAGGGCCCCTTATTTTCGTAAACCCCCATGGGACATGACTGGAGTCTGCGTGTGGTATCTGTCGGTGCCAGGTTTGCTATGACGAGGATGAGGCCTCGGAAGACCCCACGTGCATGGCCTACGACATGAGCGAGGATTGACGCAAGCGACAGAATCGCGGCCTCATGCGGGCTCTTTGCCTGCTACGGTTTAAAGCCATGGGTGAGCTTGTCCAGGGCGGTGCTCGGACTCGGCAGGATCCGATCACTTATTTCGAGCAGCTCTTTGCTCACTATGTGGCCGTGTCCGCAAATCTCCTGGAGCCACTGTGCGGCACTATTCTGGTGGCAGTGGCTGCAGTAATGCTAATGCGGCCTGTAGGAATGTAGTGGAATGTCATGGAGGATTCGTGTGAAGAATTTGCAGACGCGTTCCACCCTGGAAAGACATTGTTTTGAGCATTTGTTTACACAGCCTTTGCTAGAGTCTTGTGTGGTGCTTGACCTTGTAGATGTTTCGTGGTGTTGCATCCCTGTCTGTAGCTTCGCCTTGATCGGAGGACTTCTGTTGCGCCGGAAGAGCCCTTGGACCTGTACGGTGAGGCACGATAGCTTCGATCAGTTTGTTCTTCCCCACTACTGCAGCAGGTGTAAAATTCAAAGACTACCTGGCTTCTTGTCCATCTGTGATGCTGCGGACATCTGGGAGAGAGATTCGGGCTCAAGTCTCGGAAACAGGGACCTGCCACCAAGACATTGCCAGAGTAGCTCGGCCGTCCGTCTGCACCCCCTCACAAGAAGTGGCCTGGCAGGGCGGCGCATACATCCCCACCAGGCATACATCCCCACCAGGCATACCGACTGGACCCGGCGATGCCCACAACGCTGTGTGCTCCGCTCGGCGACCCCTGCAATGCTTTCGGTCGTTAAGTACGCTAGGGCCTCTAGGGAGTCCGAAGCCCATTGGCAGCGATGCCATTGTCTCATGTCATTTCGCTGCTATGCAGCTCAGGAACCTTTCCTTCATGAGGGTCGGGCCGCAACGGTGGCACACCAGGTTCCCCGTTCGGAACAGTTCGGAACAACCGCCTCATGGCCCTCCACTGATGCCGGGGCTCAGCTGCACGGCTGCGCGATGGTGGTGGTGTGCCTCCCTGGGAATTCTCGGAAGGCCACACCAACATCTGCGTTCTTGGCCCGTGCCTTTCGCCTTCGCTCCTTGCTCGATGTTTCTCATCCGTAGTACCCCGCATTGCAAGCAGAACCATCACACGTTGGCATTCTCCCCAGCCGGGCATGCCACAAGGGTACAATGCCGACCAGAATGGAAGACAAGGGAAACGAGATAACTGGAGTGCTGGGGCTTGAGCTCAGTAGATAGCAGGAGGGAAGCAAGGACGGACGAAAGAAAGGAAGGAAAAAGGAAGGAGCGAGGAAGAAGGGATGAGAGCGCTTGAACAAGAGGACACCTGCTGGCGCTGGGCAGAGGGAAGGCCTTTGCCATCCGCCATCCTTTGCTTAAAGCCCGGCAGAGTAAAAATGGAAGTGGATGCAGTGTGGGCTATGGCAATGGTAGTGACTCGAGTGCGTGCGTGGTAGATCACGCAACTGACATGCTCATTTCGAAAGGCCGTCACCGACCTCCTCGGACGGGTGGAGTCGCTAGCACACAAGGTGGTGAGCTGGGTCGGTGGAATCAAGGAGCGCTTAAGCCTTGTGTGCTTTGTGCAACGGCCTTGCTGCAAAGACAAGTGGGTACCGCTGAATCATTGTAGTTGTTCCTGTTGTTGTTCCTCCTGCTGTTGTTCTTCCTCCTGCTTTGCTCCTCCTGCTGTTGCTGCTGCTGCCGCCGCCGTCGTCGTCGTCCTCCTCCTCCTCCTCCTCCTCCTCCTCGTCCTCGTCGTTGTCGCTGCTGTCATTGTGCTACTGCTGCCGCTGCTGCCGTCGCCCCCGCCGCTGTCGCGGCTGCTGCTGCTGCTGCTGCTGCTGCTGCTGCTGCTGCTGCTGCTGCTGCTGTTGCTGCAGCATGTTGCGGTGCAGACGTGTGTTGCAGAATGCTTCGAAGCCGGTCGGAAAGTGTCTGCACTGAAACAGATGCTTTAGCAGGATGGCTATGTTCACCGGGGCAAGCTAGGCGATCTGCCGCAGAGGTCAAGGCAAGGAAAAGAACACAGTGAATCATATCATGTGCTTTCGAACGTCACGCGGCAGGGCTTAGTCAGCCGGCACAGTCTGCATCGCCAGAGACCGCCTTCCTGTGCCTGTCTTTGCCAGGCAGCCCATCTCCAGCACTCTGCAGCAGCGGGCGCTAGTGCTTCTTTTCAGGCTGCTGAGGCCCATCTCCTCACCACGCCACTCAAACTAAGCTGCACTCTCCTGAAAGCGCGTGCTTGGGGCTTCCGCTCACCCGTAAGCTCTGAGGGTCCGCGACGGCACAAGCTGGGCTGCGCTGTCACCCATGTTTTAACTGCAGAAGGCATCTTGCAAGATCAGCACCACTGCTATCAAATGAAGTGGTTCTTGTCCCGCAAGGCAATGTGACATGGTGTGACAGAACCAAAAGTGGGGTTGCATTTAGAAACTCAACAAGTGGCCTTTTGCTGTCGCTGTCGACGTGAGACACAACATCCATCGACAAGTCGCCAAGCCCAGTTAGGTACACAAAGTGATAGGCGACGTTTGAACACATGATTGGTCTTTCTGTTCAACCTGCCAGAATGAATGTCTTTCATTTGCAGTGCAACAAGATAAACTCCCTTCATTTCCAGAAGCTGGCGGCCTATTGTAGAGCACAACCTGCAGCTGTCCACGAAAGCTTGGGCATTTGTTCTGTTCTGCTGGGGTGCACGCTGTGCCCTTGATGCGCTAACCTTTCGGCACCTCCGCGAAGTATTGCTCTATGTTGCCCTGGTGCACAGGCCACAATCATCCGGACTGTTGCCGCCACGTGACAATCTTCCATACCTGGTCCAAGGCTGTGGCGAGCATGCCGTGTCTGCTGAGTCGCTTCGTAGCTTCATGACGGAGCGCACGGACAGGAAGCGCCTCGCATGATCATGTGCAAAGCGTCGACACTGCCCACATCGTCCACGTCTCGACAGGACGGGAGAGATGTAGGGTGGACGAGGTAGCTTTCGTATCCGTTGACTCTCCTTTCATCTCCAGCTCTCTCAGTGTCTCGCTTTTATTTACTTTTTTTGTTCTCTCTCGCTCTCTCTCCCTCCTATCTCTCTCTCTCTCTCCCAGTTCTCTCTCTCTCTCTCGCAGCCAGCTTGCCACAGTCAGCCAAACTTGTCAATAGTCAATATGAAAGCCGAAGCGACTTCGAGCAACATTCACTAGCGCAAGCTTGCTGATGTGAAGGCAATATTCTGGAAGCTTTGCTGGACAACAAGCGACTGCTCCAGATCCACAGGCTAGCTGCCGGGCTCGGGCTGGGATGCTCTGCAAGATTGTGATGCCAAAGTTGCAAAGCTGGATTTGGCAGAGATTGGCAGGCAGCAGCACCTGTTCAGCGATGTGCCTCAGACTGCATTGAGTCAAGCTCAGAGGTCTTGTCTGAGATGGGCTCCCAAGCTCTTCAGCGGGCGCCTTTGCATCGCCATCTTCAGGGCCTGAGCTCCAGTGGCCGGAAGCCGTTGGATGCTAGCAGAACGGCATCAACTTGAATTGAAGACGCAAACACCTCATCTTTGGTAGCTGTTCTCTGTCATGAAGTTTTTTTTGAAACAAAATGCCTTGAGCGTTCACTGGTGTGCTCATGCGTGCCCTGTGGAGACGATTCGCGTGACGACATGATGGGGCACCCAAGCTTGGGGATGTAGGAGAGGACCCCCGTTGTTCGGGAACGAAGGCTCATAAGCCTGTTTCTACAGAACATACAGTTCAAAGGCCATTTCTGGAACACAAGAGATTCCTGAGTGCCGCCCGGGCCCAGGTGCCAAGTATGAGCATTGACGACGTGCTGCGCGAGGTTGTTGGAAACCTTTTGGAGCCAGGCGCGAGCCGTGGGTGTCCTGCACTCTGCATTTGCCGGCAGGGGCACCAGTGTGATGCTTGTGGGACTTTCCAGGTTTCATGTTGTGAAATTCACGTGAAGCAGGGTTTATATTACTGTTATTGGTGAGTGTATACAAGGTTCCTTTTTAATGGTGAGTGTATATACCTGGTGTCCTTCTGGGGGTACAAGAAATATATACCCTACTTCACGTACACTGGCAGTCACTGGCTTTCGCGAAGGCCTGCAAGCTGCAGGACATGGTCAAGATCTTGGAGCACAGGCGCAGACGGATGACAGAGATCGCCCTGCTGAACCGACACACGTGGTAAGGATAAAGCTGCTTCATCATGTAAAAAAAGGGGTACTCGATGCCAGCATCTCAGCCAGCAAGGGTGTAGACTACATGTCAGGCTAGTGCTTAAGGCACTGTGATCCCGCTTGACAGTCCTTGATGTCACGTAATCTCTTTCATGATTGTTGCGGGCTTACAGCTTGACTGCAGGAAAGGGATCTTCATTTCCTTCTCGTTCGCAAGCTCAAGGCGACATGGGAGTGCCTGTTCTGCTCAGCCGTGCAAATCAGCAGAGGGCTTTGTTGGAGCGAGTTGTTGCTTGATGCCTGTTTGCTCGGATCTTTCGGCTTAGAGGCTTAGAGTATCCCAAGACACGGTGACACGGCAGCAGCTGCTCATCAGCCGCAGCGGCCCATGTGGGTTTTTCCGAGGGTTGCTGTGAGCCCAGAAACAGAGCAAGGCTAACGCTAGCTGCCGATAGCTCCTCTCTCCTTGCAATGCCTTGGTTGAGGAGGCTGCTACCTGCCTTGGCAGCCTTTCTAAGCCATGCCGAGGAGGATGTTCTTGAGGCACAGACACGCTGTCAAATACACCTACAGCGTGCAGACTCTGGCAAGACCATGTCGGATGTTCATGCTAGTGGGTGGGAGCTTGTGACACTATGTGGATGACAGTTGAACGTACTGAGACGGCGTCAACAAGCAACTAGCCATATGTGTTTTCCGAACCTGGGCACGCGCTCTACGCGACCCGCCTTGGCCCGGCCCAGCGCATCCGCGTGAGCATGGTGACTCCGCAGCGCCCAAGTCGCTGACCCCAAGCAATAAGGGTTGGGTTTAGGGTTTAGGGTTCCGGGTTTATGGTTTAGGGTTGAGGGTTTAGGGTTGAGGGCTTAGGCTCAAGGTTTACGGTTTGGGGTTCAGGGTTTTTGGGTTTAGAGTGCAAGGCTCAAGGTGAGGGCTTAGGCTCAAGGTTTACGGTTTGGGGTTTAGGGTTTTTGGGTTTAGAGTGCAAGGCTCAAGGTTCAAGGTTCAGGGTTTAGACGGTTCGGCCGGTTCGGCTTGGACAGGATTCGCAGCATCCTGCTCACACCAGTCGAGCTGCGGGCCCTCAACCTCAAGCAAAAAGGGGCGGGGCAAATGGGGGGGGGGGGCGGGGGGCAGGGGGGCGGGGGGGGCAGGGGGGGGGGGGTCAGGGGCAAGGAAGGGGGTAGGGGGACCACCTGTGGGGCGTTCAACTGCCCTGGTCCTGGCGAACCGTCCGCTTTCAGATTGTGGTCCCCTAGGGGGGGTACCCATTCCAGGCAAAAAAGTTTGGGCTTGGGGGGAAGAGTTGGAGGGGGGTGCCTGTTCTCACACCCTCGGCGAATTTCAGATTCAGCTTCGTAGTGCTTAAAGTTGAGGCGATTCAGGGTCGATCGCGAATCGCGGACAACAGCCCAGTGTAGATCGGAGTCGCAGATCCCTCAGCGCGAGCAGAAAGCCTGTGCATCCCAGAACCTTCTCCCAATCTCACCCCTGGCCTCAATCGCTCCAGGCTTCCCTTGCGTCCGATGATTGTGGCTCGGCCCTGTCGGCCCTACAAACTCGAGGAGCGCACCGAACTCATAATCTTCTCGTAATATGCTAAAAAGAATAATGCAATCTAACAATAATTTTGATCTAAAGTTCTGATCAAGCTGCAATATTCCGCTTTGCACAATCCGAAGCATGGCTTGGGCCGGGGAAGACATCATTCCATTATTCCGTCCTGGCTGCGTGCCGCCTTTTCCAGGACGCACCCTGAGCTCGGAGACGGATGACGCGTGGACTGAGGCCTTCGAGTTCACAGCTGGAAGTACTTTTGGAGGTTATAGGTGGGGAGCCTCCAATGCAGGTCGCAAGCTCGCGCGTGGTACTGTATGTTTTGCCTTAAGGAAGCTCCTCAGCTTGGTCCAGGATTAGGAAATGAGCTCTGAGCGCGCAGCAAAATGCTCAGAGGCTTACTCAAGGCTGGTGGCAGGCGTTGCATTAGGATGGAAGCTGTTGCCCTCATCGCTCACCCGACACTGGCAGGTAATGTCCTCAATTGTTCCCATGGTGCAGAATTTAGTCTTCAAGGACGGGGAGCTGGCAGTGGCCGAGGAGCAGAGCAGCACAGAATAGCCCTGTGCTACGGCATGTTGTGAGGCCCGGCTATAGGGTAAGCCCTGCCTCTTGGGAAGGAGATGAAGCAAGCGATGGGCGGGGCATGCCTGCGGATGGAGGACAGACGCTATCCGGCGCCGGCGAAGCAGAGTGGCTGAGTGTCTTCCGCTCTCGCACCAAGACCATTTCGAGGTCGAGTTTTCTCAAGAGGTTGGGCTCCACCTCTAGATGTGCCATGCTGCTGCAGGAATACCGGACCAGTACTATCCCCTTCTCCGACTTCTGGCAGTGCGGCGCTGAATCCCACGATAACTTCGGCGACAGCGCCTACACTCCGTCAGAGCGGGTGATTGATAAGCTCACACTGCTCTCCGGTGTACCATTGCGCACCTGGGCCCGACTCCATTTGCATTCAGGCCGGGGGAGCGGTCGAGGTGTGCCTGGGGGCAATAACCCTGAGAGGGTCAACATGCAGCGCATCGTTCTTTGCCCCGGAGGCAATGAAAGCGACGCATTGTATGGAAAGTGGTGCGGACTCTCGGCCTACTTTGCTGAAGCGATATGCACTTGCAGCGCCATGCCAATCAATCAAATGGCACTTCTTCCCCGCACTGTCCATTGTTTTAGTTTTGTACTGCCAAATCGGATTGCCCTTGACTCCGGACGAGTTTATCCTACCAGGCGGCTGTGACGATGCGGTCAGTTCTCGAAACGATGGTTCCATCCTCGACAGTCGATGTTTTTTGCCATCTTTTTTCGACAGGGCCAAGCGACGTGGGAAGTATGTTGACTCCCACCCTCCCCTTGTTTCTTGTTCTGTTCTTCAACGACCAGCCGTCGGTGGGAAGTCGGTTCAATCCTGCCCTGCGCTGGGTTCTGGCTGACACCTGTGGTCTCCTTGTAAGAGACATCCACACCTTGCCATGGCAGTTCTTCTTGGCAATACGCATTGTATGTTAGTTTGACATGATCCGCAGACTTTTTCGCCGTTCCCAACTACCCGTGTCATAGATTTCGGCATGTACTTTCGTCAGTAGAGGCCCTAACTCCACTCCTGCCGGACCGGAATGCTCAATAGCGTTCCAACTTTTCTCGCAGAGCACTTCCTAGTCCGGCAGGCTGATTTGCAAGTGTAAGAGGCAGTTAAGCAGACTTATTGAGTTAATCACTGGCATAGCAAGTTACGTGTTAGGCATGCAAAAACAAATGGCAACCCAGGATGACAACACGAATTCACATTGTTTGGCTTCGTTCGGTTTACATACCAGTAGCAGACAGAAGCCTAAAGGATCAGCTACACGTATATACATCTGCCTACATGTCTGTATATATGTGTATATATACATATATATGTCTATATATGTAGATCTTTATATACATATATGCACCATACACGCACACACACACACACACATATTCGTATATATATATATATATAGATAGATAGATAGATATGTGCATATATGAATAAACAGCACAATCATGCGACTTGGAAGTTGTGAGCAGGTCTATGCACGCACGCTGCATGTGCAAAGCTGCCAGGACCAGTACTGTTGTTTTCCTTGCATGCGTAGTTTTGCAATTCGTAACAATGCCAATGTTTTGGCTCAAGTACCGAGCGTGTGCCTTTGAGCACGGTAGAGTCGCACAGTAGCTCCTAGGTTGCTGTGCGGTCCGACCGGACGCACTCAGGCGTAGCTGCACAAGTGCTTGGACTCACGAAGTCGTAAAACAGCGTGACCGGGCTGTGATTGCATTGGCTGAGTGCAAGTCCAGTGCTGGTCGACTTCACAATTGGGGGCTGTTCTGGGAAACGTACAGCTCTTGTGCCTACGGCCCGAGTGGGCAAGCATTGCTTTGCTTGTCCGTCGCGGTCCGTGACCTGGACGCGTGGACTGTGTGCCACGCTTGCGGCCTGTTAACCAAGGCGCGGCGCTTCGTGTGCCACGCCTGCGGCCTGCTAACCAAGGCGCGGCGATGTCCGCAGAGGTTGCAGGTCAGGCCGAGGGCGTCACCCTCCTCGAAGCGATCGAAGGTGGAGACGTTCCCTATCCCGAGCGGATGAGCTACGTCGCTTGGCTTAAGTGGCGTAGGGAGACTGGCAGCCGTCCGTTGTCCAAGCGGGATGGGGTTAGCACTACGCCAGAGCAAGAGGCGGCTCTCTGGCGAAAAGTCATGAAGTTCCTCCATGACGCCGAAGACGAGGATGAGGATGAGGAGGAAGAAGAAGAGGACTCCGAGCTAGTCCCTGAAGCCTCGGGCGCTGGAGGCGACAGTCCGCCGCGGGTGGACGTCAGCGCCGCGGCTAGAGAGCTGGCCATGGTCCCTACCGGTGCTGCCTATGTCCCTGCTACGGCACCAGGGTCCCGCCCGGCGGGACCGTCCGGTCCGCCGTCGACAGCAGGTTCGGTGCCAGGCACCGCAGAGGGCTTGCAGGCGGAGCTGCGCGCGATTTTCCGTCCAGACCAGGAACCGGTCGCGGACTACTTGACGCGCGTTTCGCGGATTGTCCTCGCGCTGAAGGCGCATGGAGTCACGGTGAGCTCCCGTGACCTTGACGCCTTAAGCACCAAAGCCACCCTCCTTGCGGATGAGTTCTCCAAGATAGGCGGGGACTGGCATCCGACAAAGATGGTCCGTCGGCTGCGGACCAGATTCTCGGTCGCGGCTTTGCGCGGTGGCGAGGACCCCGAAGACGCAGAGGAGATTCAGCGTGAAATCCAATGCATCGGGGAGCTTATCCTCGCGCTAGGGGGAAAAGAAAGCTCGAGCCAAGAGAAGGTTTGGAGCTCCCCGTCCGATGTGCCAGTTGAAGCCGTGGGGCCGCGTTCCCCAGGGCTCCCACAGCCTGCGACTGCAAGTGGGTTGGGGGTAGGTTTGGACCGTGGAGGTTTGCACACTGCCGAGGTTGCAGGTGGTCCTTCCGCGGCCCGTGACCTGGGCGCGACGGACGGCGATTCCCCTTTGCGCGCGAAGCTTGCGGCGCTGGAGATGGAGATAGAAGCCCTGAAGCGAGGTTCAGACGGCGGAGGTTCGCAGACCGGGTCCCAAAACCCGGCGGGCGATTTCGCCGCCGCACTCGCCGCCCAAACTGAAGCGCTGAAAGAAGCGTTGGCGCAGAGGGGCGGGCAAAGCTCCATAACGACGGTCAAAACTGACCTCACGTGGCCGACGCTGACCGACGACAAGTCGGACGCGCGAGACGTTGTCCTGTTCTACGAGGAGTTCGAGGACGTCTGCGCGCTGGCCAACAACTGCCGCGGTATGAGTGCGCGCGAAAAGCTGCTAGCGCTACGCGGGCGCTGCCGCGGCTCGCGCATGAAGACGTACACGAACGCCTACCGCGCAGCGTGGAAGTCGGGAGAGGTTCTCTCCGACCCACAGGCGGTGTACGACCGCATCAAGAACAAGCACTTGATGTTCGGGGAATCGCGGGAGGAAAGAGAAGTCCGCGTGGATGGTGAGCATGCCTCCCTCGCTAAGGGCAAGCTCACAGGCCACCAATTCGAGCCTTTGTTTGAGGCATCGATCGCGGACCTTGAGGCGGTGGGTCTCGGGAAGACCCCACGAGAGTTGTATCTCTCGTACCTCCGCAAGATGCCTCCGTATCTCCAAAAGGAGATACGGAGTGACAAGCGGTTGTGGCCCGGCGATCCCAAGGATGGCGGGCTGCGAGGGCCGCAGACTTGGGAGGAGAGCCATAAGGTCGTCTTGGAGTACGAACAGAGGGAAGCAGCTCACCGGGCTGTTTCCCACTCTGTGTACTCAACGACCGGCTCTCCGAGCGCGGACCCGTCGGTCGCGCTAGCCGAGGCTCAGAAGGAGATCAGGAGCCTCAAGGCCGCTGCTAAGGCTGCTGCGAAGGGAGCAGCTGCCGCGGCCAAAGCTGGCGCGGACCAGACGTTTGCCGCTGCGTCGAAGGGAGCTGGCAAAGGAGCGGACAAGAAGATCTGCTTCCACTTTCGCGACCACGGGAATTGCCCGAAAGGGGATGCCTGCCCGTACAGCCACGACAAGGAGCTCCGCAGAAAAGCTCTCGCGGCCAAGAAGGGTGACCAAACCTTTGCCACTGCGAAAGGTAAGGGCAAGGGGAAGGGAGGTGGCAAGGCAAAGGCCAGCGCTAAGCCTAAGGCTGCGGCCAAAGGCGCGGCGAAGCCACCAGGCACTGTTTGCCCCTTTTTCTCCAAGAATGGGTCGTGCAAGAAAGGAGCCAGCTGCGACATGGTCCACAACCTGACGACCTCAGGAGGGACGCCGGCCTTGCCTGCCAACTGGGCCGCGCCCTCCGGTGCTTCCATGTCTAACCCCTTCGCCGCGTTCAGTGTCCAGATAGGCAGCTCAGGCGTCCAGGCAGGCGTCTCAGGAGCCGCAGGACGCGCCGCGGTGCAGCAGCACGCGCTTCCGTTGAGCAAGGGCGGGCGGGACAAGTTCGCCACCCTGGACGATTTGCCGAAAGACTGGTGGAACCTGGCGGACACGAGCCAGGAGGCTACCAGTACAGAACGGTAGTCCAGGTGCTCGACCGTAAGGTCGAGTGCATGCTCGACGGATGCGCCGGCGCAAACCACGTGACAGAGGAACTCGTGGTGGGCATGATGAACCGGGCTGCAGAGCTGGGGATCGGTACCGAAGATCCCGGCTTCCCGGTCGTGAGACTCGAAAAGTGGGTCCACCCCGAATACGTGCATGGCATTGCTTCGGGAGCCCCCGTTCCTTTGAAGGGGGCAGCAGTCTTGCGCGTCACGCTGCTGGAAGGCAGGACGGCGGACGACTGTCGCCCCAACACTGAAATTTTCGTGCGATGCAAAATCGCAGCCAGGGGAACGTCCGATTGGCACGGACTGATCCTCGGCGGCAGAGCGTTGGACTGCGCCGGAAGGATGGGCCTGGGCTTCAGGCCGGGTCCCGACTTTCACGTCCTCGACACGCTGGGAATCAGGATGCCCAGGTGCGAGGATCACAGCAAGACCCGGAAGGACAGGGCCTACGCCTTCGAAGCGCGGTTGTCGAGCCTGGACGACGCGTCATGCACCGAGCCTGGGGGCGGAAGCCGGGAGCTCCTCCGCTACGACGGGGAAGAGCCGCTCGAGCTCTCGCCAGGCGACGGGGTGCTGGTGCCAGTCGTGCGGGAGCCAGGAGTCTCCGCAGAGGGATCCCTGTCCGAGGTAGTGCTTCCGGTTGAGTGCGGGGTCGAGGCCGTGCCAGGCCTTTGGCCCACAGGAGAGGGAAAAGGGTTTGTGTTGCTCGCAGCCCAAGAGTGCGATCACTCTCTCCAGCCGGGCGAGGTTGTTGCGGAAGTGCGTTCCGGCCTCGTTAGCACTGCGGCCTGTGGTTGTGGCGCGGTTGAGACGGTTTTCGAGTCGGAGCCGTCTCCGCAGGCGTGTGCGGATTGCGGGGTCGCCGTTGCTACGGTTGACCACGACCCGTGCTTTGCTTGCGGGTCCGCGTCCAGGGCCGCGGCAAGAAGCTTCCAAGGTTGTTCCTCGTGTGCGCGGTCCTTTGGGCGGCTGCGTACCGGCGCCAGGATCGGTGT